TTTTTTTTTTAAACCATAAAATCCAATTACACGTCTCCCATTTCTGAACAGGCAACAAAAAGCAGTCAACAGGCAGACAAGCCAGAAAAAATAACCGAACAGCCTCAAACGTGGAGGGAGACGATTTTTAAAAAAGGGGGGAAAAGGGAAAAGAAATAAAATGTACAACAAAATAAACAGTCAGTGGTTGGTGCGGTTTATTTTGTGGTTGAATAATCCATCAGCTGCAGCAAGATCCCAATCACTGAAGACATAGTGCCGATGTAGAGCTGTAGAGGTGTCCAGGCGGGGTGAAGTGATGAACACACACACTCTCTCTCAGTCTTTCTCACGCACAATCACACACACACACACACGGTTGTTGGTTACAGTCTGTGGTTATGGTTTGTTAAAGTAGGTAGGGATGAAGGCGGAGCAGGAGAGGATGAGGAGGACCAGGGGAGAAGGTGGGGGTGGGGGCTGCTTTAGTTGTGGATCTTGATTGCTTTCTCCAGGTAGGTGTAGCGACCTCTCTTTGGAGCTTTGTTGAAATGATCTAACCCTAGCCAGGGGCGCGGGTGGGACATGTTACCTACACAGGAGGACACATCAGAGAGGCCATTAGGAGAAGTGACAGCGCCACCTGCAGTACAGAAATCACATGAACAGTAACAGGAGCAGTGGGAGTATTTCTGTAGCCCGCGTGACATCGACATTAATCTCAGGTGTCGCTGACACACCGGCCAATATTAGGAACGTGAAGATAAATAAAGTCCAGTTTTAATGATTCTGGTGACTGGGTTGGGCTACACACATCAAAACTATCGACTGCAGGGGAGCTTTTGGCCATTTTGATGCAGTTACATTACAAATAAGAACCAATCACTGCTGCAGTGAACAAAACACCAGAGGTGCCGTGTCACACTTGTAAAGGAATCACTAGAAAGGCAGTGTGGTAAATACTAGAAATACACATGCCAGCCGCTTTGTTAGGTACACCTGTGTAACTGTTTGTTCTCACAAACACAAAAACAAAAACAGATCTAATCAGTCAATCACATGACAGCAACTCAGTGCATTTTGCCATGCAGACATGATGAAGGTGACCTGCTGAGGTTCAAATGCAAAATCAGGGAAGAAAGGTGATTTAAGGGACTTTGAATGTAGCATGGTTGTTGGTTTCAGACTGAGTGCTTCAGAAACTGTTGATTTGGTGGGATTTTCCCACACAACCATCGCTGGGGTTTACAGAGGACGGTCCGAAAAAGTAAACAGGGAAGCAGTTCTCTCTCAAATAAGCACTCGTTACATCCAAGGTAGAAGAGCATCTCCGATTGTCATAGCCTGAAACAGATGGGCTACAGCAGCAGAAGACCAGCCCAGATGGCACTCCTGTCAGCTAAGAACAGGAAACTGAGACTACAATTTGTAAAGGTTTGCAAAATTTGGATCACAAAAGATCAAACCGTCTTGTCTGAAGTTGATTTCTGCTGTGACATTCAGATGGTATAATGTGGCAAAAACAGAATGAAAGCATGGATCCATTCCACCTTTTATCTACACTTCAGGCTGTTGGTGGGGGTTTAGTGGTGTGGGGGATATTAGTACCAAATTAGCATCATTTAAACACCACAGCCTCGCCAAGTATTGCTGCCGACCATGTTTATAACCATGCACTCGTCTTCTAATGGCTACTTCCAGCAGGACAGCAAATTATGTCACAAAACTCAAATCACCTCGAACTACTTTATTGAATGTGACGATGAGTTCACTTTACTCAAATAACTCCCACAGTCACCAGATCTCAGTCCAGTAGAGCACCTTTGGGATGTGGTGGAACGGGAGATTCACATCACGGATGTAAATCTGCAGCAGCTGTGTGAAGCTGTCATGTCAATGTATCTGAGGAATATCTCTAGCACCTTGTTGAATCTGTGCCATAAAGAATGACGACAACTCTGATGGCAAAAGCAGATCCGACCCAGTACTAACACAAGGTGTACCTAACAAGGTGGCCAGTGAGTGTACATAAAAGGTCTTTAAAGTTCATTATTAGGTGGAAAAACTTGTATAAATATGAGCAGCCGTGACATTGAAGTGGTGCATGACGAGGCACTGTCACAGTTTCATGCTTTTGTTTTATTTTTGTGTTTGGCTCTAGCCTGGTGTCGTTCAATCGGCGCAGTATCAGTATCAGCAGCAGTTACACTGGTATCGCTCCCAGTAGCGCCGCAGGCAGTAAATACCTGGCTGTGGTTCAAAGTCCTTCAGGTTGACCTCGTACTCGTCCTCATTGATGTACTGATGCCGACCCATCATCACAATTGCAAACTTGAACTGAAAACACACAGAGACAGACATCTGGTGGTTAACTACCCCCCTTGTTAACACTTTAATTATTTCAGCATCAGGAGAACGCTGTTTACGACCTACCTTCTCAAACTCTTTCTCCTGGATGTCCAGCATGGTCTGGATCCTCCTCATCACCTCCCGAAACGACTCACCCTGCACAGAGGAGAATGGGATGGCAGTGAGTCAAGAAGAAATAAAATAAATAATAATCCCCACATTATGTGGTACAAGTAAACAAAAAAAACACACCTGTCTGATCTTGAGCAAGAAGGGAATCCCAAAGGTGCCAAAGACCTCCTTATGGAAGTGAGCAACAGGGATTAGCATTTCAGTGTCCTTATCCAAGTCCACCTGGTCCAAAGGAATCTCCTGAAAAAGCCAAGCAGCACAAGAGAGATGAAGGAAGAAAATAAGCTCAGATCAAACCAATGACTATAAAATGTAAAAATAAACCAACTGTTTTTACCGACACCTGGTGGTCAAAGTTTTTAACGCGCTGTAATGACGCAAGAGCTACAGAGAAAACTGAGCCAGAAGCTTGGTATTTAACCTTTAACAAGCATGAAGAAGTAATACTTCTACTGCTAACTGACTGGCTGTGAGGGCAAAAATACAGTGTCGGCCTGACGGCGTGTTAAGTGGAAGTTAAGCGGCTAACATAAAATAAACGACACGGTGAAACGCGCTGCACAGGCAACGCCTCGCATAAACACTCACCTCTATTCTGAAGGTGCGGCTGGCAGCAGGAGATAAACATTCTAGCAGCTCGTCCTCCTGGTGAACTCCGATGATTTTATAGCTTACTATCTCTAACAGCCTGCAGAGGGAGAACGAGGGAGGAGGCATTAACGCTCTGCAGGAGCTTCTCAAATGCAGCAAAATCTGATTCTGACATCACACCAGGGAAAACAAGAAATTCAACCAAACTAAAGGGAAAGGTGCCAGTGCAGTCACAGAGAGCAGGTTTACAGAATGAAATGGGGCTGTGCAGGCCGCGGTTGCTGTGAGGGTTGTAATTGTCAGACTATAATTTTGTGAAAAGTGTTTAAAAAAAAAAGGAGAAGCAGCACACATTTCACACGTGGTTAGGATTAGATTAAAAAAACAAATCAAAGGGGTTAAACAAAAGCCGAAATGTTACCTGGATCAAGATGAGTGGAAAACTAAAGTGATAAACTTCACTACAGACAGTCTAGGCCACAACAACAAGCACTCAATCTCTAGTGATTTGCCCAGTGTCAAAGATAATGTTCAAAAAGCTAAAGTGTGCTCGATTTTTAAATTTTAACTCAGTTTACCATCAGATGCAAACTCCCCGTACGGCAGAACAGCTGGAGCAGCTGTCAAAAAGTTCTGATTGCAACCACTGAGAGGAAGACAAGCAAGCCAAACACAGATGGATACCTGAGCTTCTCAGAGCCATTTTCAGACAGCTCCACAGCCTTTTTACATTCTTCCAAAAGGTCCCGCACACAGCCGTGCTTGTCAGGGTAAAGAGTAATCTCCTGCAACACAAGAAACAGTTTCATGTCTATGGTTGAATCACAGAAACATTTTTCCTTATGTAAAGCTTTTTGGGGGGGGGGTTTTGAGTGTCGTACCTCCTCTCTGAACTGGCTGTTGAGCCATATGGATTTAAAACTCCTCCTGTTCTCAAAGTCTGTTATCTTCATCTTTAACTGAGAATACATAATAGAGAAAAAGAGAGAGATAAAAACAAAGTTACTCCTTTTGTGGACTCGTAGGATGTGGCCTTCGATTTTCTTCTGCTAATCTGGGGCCGGGTCACTGGGCCAGCAGCCTAAGCAGAGAAACCAAGACCTCCCTCTCCCCCAGCCACCTCCTCCAGCTCATCCAGGGGAACTCAAAAGAGTTCCCAGGCCAGTTGAGAAATGTGGTCTCCCCCGTGTGTCGTGCGTCTACCATGGGGCCAGGGTAACATGAACACCTCAACCAGCAGACATCACAGTCAGATGCCTGAACCACCTCAACTAGCTCCTTTCAACATGGAGGAGCAGCGGCTCTATACCCGGTCCCTTTCAAATAGCTGAACCCCTCACCCGTTCTCTCAGGGAGAAATTAGCCAACCTTCAGAGAAAGCAAATTCTGCCTTTTGTATCTATGATCTAATTCTTTTGGTCACTACCCAAAGCTCGTGACGTAGGTGAGAGTAGGGACGTAGATCAAGATACAAATCCCTGTCGCTCATGAACAAGACACTGAGATAAGCCATCCACCTGAGGATGTAACTCGTTCCTGGTTTGCAGGAAAGATTTGAAATAAATAAAAACTTTCTCACAACCGTTTGTGTGTTAAAAGTTCAGGTAGTCAGAAAACATTTTTACCCCAATGACTTGGTTTTCTATCAGACAGCATTTTATATTTTATAACGGAGGAAAGACAAAAAGACATTTAAGATTACCAGAATTATTACCGGCACTATGAAACACTGAGCTCCTTTTCAGGGGAAACACCAGTTATCTTACTCGAAAGAGAGAACAAAGACAAACTTGAAATCCTGACACAGAAAAAGTAGACAAACCAGTCCTACCTGCTGGTAGTAGAGTTTCTTGGGCTGCCGAGGCTTGAAGAATTGCAGCAGGTCCCGCAGCGTTCCCTCATAGTTGTGTCTGAGAGGATTCCCTGGACCGTCCCTGTACCTGGCCACCACACCACCAGGCAGGGGGGGAGGACAACAAAGGGGAGGGAAGAAGGGTGGAAGGAGAAGAGAAAGAAAAGTGGGAGGAAAAGAAGCAAAGAAGCAGAGGTGGAGGTGAACAGCAGAGCAAGACGAAAAAAAAGAAGCACAGAGGGAGAGGGAAGAGTAGGAGGAAAAACAACAGAAGACAGGTGGAGGGGGGACAGGTTATGCAACATTTCTACTGACAACTGCAAGTAATCAAATCAAAGGCAAACCTGACAAAAGCTACGAGTCACAACACTATTCAAACGCGGTCTACACGTTCCTTTCTACATGTCAAACAGAATGACAGGATTTTGAGTTATTTAGGAAAAAACAGCCTTGAAACAACACTGCATTATTCATGAAACTACAGGCCGTCTTTAGCAGATTTTCCTGGCTCCAAATGAGCCTTCTGGGAGATGACTACGCACGTCGGCGAGATCGATCTATGTACAGTGAAGGTGATGAGTCAGTTATTTGGCCCAAATCCATGTGGTTTCCTATTCTTTCTGACCATCAGATTAAGAAGCAGCATAACACGCTTCAGTAAATAAAACACCAAAAATAACGAAACCGGTCAGAAACATTTTGTCACAGTCCCTCTATGCAGGAAAAGCCTTTGTTTAGTATAACCTTTTTTTTGGTCAAAACCACAAAAAAGGGATAATTACGCTACAGCAAAAGCATAATTACTCAGTTATGTGCAAAGCAAGAACTAAAGTGCTCTCCCTTGTAGTTGACTTCATGTTCAGTGTTGTTTCAAAGCCCTTAACTGCATTTTTCCTGACTATAAAGGCCATATTTTGGCTTACAGTGAGAACAACGGCTTAAGAAGAAAAAAGAAAGAACGACAATCACTATTATGCACTGTTATTGTTACTACATTTACGAAGAATGCAGTGTGTGTGTGTGTGTGTGTGTGTGTGTGTGTGTGTGTGTGTG